ATTTATTTATTTATTTATTTATTTATTTATTTATTTATTTATTTATATAAAACTAGGCCAAGTGTATTGCTGAGACCGGGTGGGAGAGGATTACCTTTGGGGGTTAAAGCCACAGGCGGTATTTGTGCTTCAGTGGGACACAGGGCTTGAAATAGGGACCCCCCTCCCCATCCCAGGTTGTGCAAAAAGTGCAGCTGTGGCCATGGCAGCCGGCACTAGGTCTCTCCAAAATTTTATTTTTTAAAAAAACTTTATTTTTATTTTGTACATGAGTGTTTTGCCTGTGTGTGTACACAGAGGTCAGAAGAGGGTGTTGAATCTCCTAGAACTGGAGTTACCATTGTTAGCTGTCATGTGGGTGCTGGGAGCCAAACCCAGGTCCTCTGCAAGAACAGCCAATGCCCGTAACCACTGAGCCATCTCTCTAGCCCCCCAGTTTGGTACTTTTGATTTTAATTTTATCTGTTTTTGATTTTGAATTAGTTTCACTATGTAGCTCTAGCTGGCCTTAAACTTAGGATCCTCCTACTTCACCCTCTCCAGTGTTGGGATTATAGGCATGTGCCGCCATACCTCTCAGTTTGTTAATTTTATAAGTTTAGTCAAGTTCTTTAATCTTAAAGAAAAAAATGGAAGTGCAGAGTACTGTCTAGCCATTCTATTTTCACCATTTTTTACATTACTGTGATGCTGTATAGTTTAGCTTTCTGTGATTTTATAGTTCATTTTATTCAAATGTATAGTATGTTTTCAATTCTTTCTATTATACTGTCCAATTTAGTGGTGTCCTCACATGTGTTAATCACTAGAAATTTGGTTACTTGGAATTTGTACTGGATTCTGGAGACTTACTGTAAAAAGGAATGCAAATATACCAACTTTTAATGTCCATTAAATTTCAAATAATTTGGATCTCCAGGGTTAAAGTACTGTTTCACTATTTTAATGTGGCTTGCATTATATTTCTATGACATAATTCCTTGTATTTGTCATTAATAAAGCCAAGTGAATTTTATGTTTTAAGAATTTAATGCCAGATGAGATGACATACTCCTTTAATCCCAGCACTCAGGAGGCAGAGGCAGGAGGATCTCTGAGATCAAGGTCAGCCTGGTTTATATAGCAAGTTCCAGGTCAGCTGGGACTACAGGGAGACTCTCTTTATAAAGACCAAAAAATCAAACAAAAAAGAATTTACTGAAAATTAGACCTCATACTTCTGTATATGGTACTGGGTATTTTTCTCCCCCCTCCTTCTTATAAAGATTAATAACCTAATTAGACAGTTGTCATAATAAAAACATTTAAAACTTGGACCTCTATTGCTTAGATTTCAGGAAAATCCATTGGTGAATAATAAGGTGGACACAAAAGGCTCCTGTGGACATTTTCCCGTCTCGGAACAACTGTTGAGGGGGGAGGTGTGATTTAGAGCACTCATTAGGATGGTAGGTGAAAGAGGCAGGAAAATGGCTTGAAAGGAATTAGTTTAGTGTAATACTAGCAATTTGATCACAATGTAACTTCAGTGAGCCACACATTGCTTTTATGGGAAAGTGTGAGCTACATTGATTTTTAGTATCTTTCAAGTTTCAAATATTTAAGATGTTTTCTGTAGTTTTAGAAGAATAATATAAAAATTGAAAAATATTTCTTAGAGTTGGTGAGATGGCTCAGCAGGTAAAGGTACTTGTCTCCCAAGTCTGTAACCTGAATTCCAACCCAGAACCCACATGAAGGTAGAAGAAGAAAACTAACTCCCAACAAAATTGTCCACTGATTTCCATATACACATGCTGTGGCATGCTTGCTCACATCATTTGCATATACATAATAATGATAATAATAATAAAACTAAGTTTTTGCCCTCAATTTAATTTTATATTAGGTAACTTGATGAGATTAGCTAATTGACCAACTAAAAACATTTTTTTTTAATATGTGTGAGTGCTTTACCTGCATGTATGTAAGTGTACTTATGTCATGTAATGCCTTCAGAGGCCAGAAGAAGGCATCAGATCCCCTGGAACTGGGGTTACAGATGGTTGAACCCAGGTCCTCTGCAAGAGCAACTAGTGCTCTTAACCATTGAGCTGTCTTTCCAGCCCATTGATCAACTTTTAAAATGTTTTCTTAAAGTTATTAAGCTTCATCAGAGGTAAATATATTAATAAGCCCTGCAGTGTCTATGTACAGGAAGTATGAATAAGTATCAAAATTTTCTTTATTAATGCTGAAGTAGTTAATGGATTAAAGCCTGGAAAGTAAATAATAAATGAGTGTATAATGGTTAATTTTTAAAAACATGAAATCTCAATATAAAAAAATGTGAAATATGCTAAAAAGTTTTAAGTGTTTGCTTTGTTTCTAGTATTTGATTTGTTTGAGGTTGTTTGCCTTGCTAGACATCTCTTAGCAGTTTGTGTTGGCGGTCTTTTTGCAGCTAGGGGGAAAACGACATGCCTTATAAGGTAGCATAGCTTTAGCACTGTGATTTGCCTCTCAGCTTGTTTAATGACAATACAGCCAAGGAGAAAATGAACCAATAATGTTGTGTAAGTTATCTGTTTAAGGGATTATTCAACCTAACATTGTTTTCTTGTACATTAAACTCTTTGTATATATTTTAATATTGATTTTTACAGATCCTTCTGCTGAGGAGTTGAGGAAACTAATGATGTTGCATGGCGGTCAATACCATGTATATTATTCTAGATCCAAAACAACACACATTATTGCTACAAACCTTCCTAATGCTAAGATTAAAGAATTAAAAGGGGAAAAAGTAATTCGGCCAGAATGGATTGTGGAAAGGTAAGTTTAACTTTTGATTAAATCTAATTCAACTAATGTATTCTTTAAAAATTGCAGTGATTTTTATTCCCATTGTTAGTAACATTTTTGTTTTGATTTTAGTAGTTTGGTGTTTGAACTTAGGACATTGTACAGACTAAGCAAGTGTTGTACCACTGGACCCTCATTTCTCAGCTCCTTATTCCTCCTTGGCCATGGACTCTTACTGATCCTCCTTTTTGAGTCTCATGAGTACTAGGATTATAGATATGCTATCACATCTGGCTCCTGTTATTTTTTGATGATCATACTGTCATATTTCTGCTATTGGTGTAGAAATCATAAAATGTAAATAAACAGTTGCCATTAATAGTAACTTTCTAAATTTAAACTGTCTTCTGGAACCCTGTCGATGAACCAACACTTAAAGGCCTTATTATTTAAATGATACATATATGTAGGTGATAACTAGATTTAAAAGGTAGTAAAAATACTGAAATATTGACTTCATGAATGGATTATAATGTTGGATACTCTAGTATGCATCTGTAATCTCTACACTCCTGTAAGGTGGTGGCTGGCAAAGATAAAGAGTCCCCAGAAACTCCTGGACTGGCAAGTCTGGTCTATACAGCAGCAGGATACAATAAAGAGAGCCTGCCTCAAGGTGGAAAGTGAGAATGGACACCCAAGGTTGTTCTCTGCTCACACAACACGAATGCTTGCATGTGCACACATATGCACAGCCTACTATTCGGTGTATGAGAGCATGGTCAGATTGTATAGTAGGGTACTAATGAAACAAGCTTAATGATGAAACTACCTTTCTGAGTCAGTTGCTCCAATTAAAAAAAAAGATTTCATTTTTGTTTTATTTATGTGTGTATGTGTTGTGCCTGTGTGAGTTTTATGTGTACCACATGCATACAGGCACCCTTGAAGGCCAGAAAGAAAGGTGTTGGATCTTCTGCAAGAGCAGAACTGGCTCTTAACCACTGAGGCATCTTTCAGCCCCTAGTCTTTTTTCTTCCTAATTCTAACTTTCTCCAACACCATCCTTGTATTTATTCCATACATTTGTATGGTGAATGTAGTCACATAAGTTCTTTAAAAAGGAGAAGCAGCATGATAGTAGCAAAGACTGGAGACAATGTTTGAATTCACATCCCAAATTGAATAATTCTCTACCCTTGTAATCTGGACTTAGAAACTTTATGCATTCACTTGAAACTTTTGCTTCCTCATTTGTAAAATAATGTATCTACCTGTTGTGGTTATGTGAGAGCTAGAAATACCTTTGTGCAGATTAGCACAATGCTAGGCATGTTGTAGAGGCATAATATACAACAAGCTACTGTCATTACTTCATTCTATAAATGTTAGTAACTTTGAATTTAAACTGTAAAAGTTCAGAAGTACGTTGACTATGTCTAGAAAGTCATTTATTTTACAGATTAAAGGGATCTGTAAACTTGGGGAAGATTAAATGTGAAGGAGCATCCTTAGACCACCCCACTGATTCCTTCTTTTTTGCTGTGTTCTCAGGACTGTCGTGCTTTTCTGCCAGTTGTGTAGGATTGATGGTCATGACTATTAACCGTGTGTTTCCTTGTAAAGAGCTTATGAAGTTATCAGTATAACAAGCTAACTTCACTCCAGACTTTAAATGTATTGTCACAGACAATCTTCTCACTGTTCTATGTCTAGAATTTTTATTTGAGTGTAATGTTCTGGTTTGGAGGGATTGAGGGAAACTTGACAGCAAAGGAAATAGGGATAAGAGGGCTCTTGCTGGGTGGGGCTTGATTTGCTTAGAAATTGTATTTTTTCTTATACCTCTTTTCTCTTTACCAATCCTTCTCGCTAAATACAGCTAGGAAGATGACACAATACATAGAGCAGCTGAGATGGTTATAAGTTTTAAATAGAGTTTTATTTAAGTCTGGAATTAATGTTCAATCATCTATTTAAATTACTAAAAGTCATTAAAAAAGTTTGGACATCATGTTTATATGGTTTATCGGCTTCTTTTTTGGATGAGAAGGCTAGTAACTTAACTGATGTACCTAAGAACAGCACAACATTTAGAGTTTTTAATTTTTTTTTAATTTTTATTTTTTGTGTGAGTGTTTTGCCTGCATGTATGTAAGTGCCCATATGTGCAGTACCCATGGAGGCCAGAAAAGGGCATCTGATCTCCTGAAACTGGAGCTGTGGATGGTTGTGAGCCACCATGTGACTGGGAATGGAAAACTAGATCCTCTACAAGAGCATCTAGTACTCTTAACTGCTGAGCCATCTCTCCAGCCCCAGAGCAAGATTAAGAATTCAGACTTTCTGACTCTTAATTTTACCTAGTCTATACCATTTATATGAACTTGGTATAGATGAGAAGAGTCATGTGGAAACCCATAAATTTGGGCTTATATCTTAATAGGTAAACTAAATGGCAAACTTCTTATGTCATAACACAGAATTGTTTTGGTTAAATCACAATACTCTCTTCTTTCACACTGTAATCCTAGTCCTCTTGATCTCTTCTCAGCAGTATTTTAATGGGATTTTGTTACACATATTTACTATATGGGTGACATATACATATTTACATGGGTGACACGTTCTATAGTTAATCTCTTTTTCCTTAAGCAGTTTTAAAAGGGACTGCAGCTTTTAAGTGTTCGGAGTATTGCTTTCATTAGAATTCCCTAATGCCATTATGGGTGCCATTAAACCTGAGCTAATGTAGGCATGATTATAGGGCCCTTACTTCCCAGAGGCAAGGGAGCCATTTAATGAGAAGCCTGTGTTCATGAGTTTAAAGTGTAAGATTATTTTCCTAAAACATTTGCCTTGCTATAACCCTTTCCTTGAGAAAACAATGTGAATTTTGAAACATAGACTAGAGCGACTCTTGTGATATAACCCTAATTATACTTTCCCACCAACCCTGATGTTATGGGTCTTGTGGAAGCACAATTTAGGAAGGTTGTCCTAGGTCATTGTAGTTTCCTTTCGATTGTATTAACTTTGTTTTTTGTATTCAGTCTTGTACCATGGGAACTTGTCTCCTATGGTTACATTCATCCATAGATTGACTGTGAGTATGGAGAGATGAGGGTGTTTGTGTTTGGGTTTGTTTCAGCTTATACGAGTTCACTAGAGTTCGCTAGTAGGACTGATTCTCAGAGTTTATTCTTTTTTTTTAAATGTCCAACCAATACATTGGTGTATATGCCCTAAAAATTTCATACTTGATATGGGATAAAGCTTGGGCTTCTAATTGTATTCAGTGTAAACATAAATGTGTATTCAACTCAAAAAGTTGACTGCAGCTTTATCTCATCATTTTTTGTGTGTGTGTTTTTGTGTCCTGTTTCAGTTCACTCTGTAGAGTGTTTGAATGATTCTAGTTCTCATAGATTTGGCTTTCAGAGAATTAATCTTAATGTCATTTACATTATTTTCTTACAGCACTACACAATTCTGAAACTAGTTTTACAAGGCTCACTCTAGCCAATGCCCACGGTTCAGGCCATCTCTTGATGACTTAGTATAGAAAATATGTTCTCACTTTCCAGGAGATAAACAATAGATAGCTTAATTCGTAAATATTTATAGAGAAAAAACAGCCTGGACCATGTAAAAGAAAGGGCAGGAAGTTATACACATGCTGTCATACTTTTCTAAGCTCATGATGTTTTAGTGTATGGTTGGAAAGTTTAGGTATTTGAGGATGGGAAAAGTAATTTTTAGTTTTGGATGTATAAAGATTGCTTAGTGGTGAGGTAGTTAGTAAAGAACATCTTGATTCCCCTGCCCCACCCTGTATGATCCTTTCTTTAAATCCAGTTTTTTTTTTTTGTTTGTTTTTTTTTGAGACAGGGTCTCCCTGTAGCCCCATCTGTCCTGGAACTCACTATGTAGACCAGGCTGGCCTTGAACTCACAGAGATCCACCTGCCTCTGCCTCCCGAGTGCTGGGATTAAAGGCGTGCACCACCACGCCCAGCTTAAATCCACTTTTGAAGAAGGAAGAAAGTGTATATATGTATACCTGAATGGCTGTGCAGATATTCATATTTTCTGATAGAGAGGACTATGACATTGACTATCCATTTGATTTGCAGAATGATTTCATATAAGGAAAGCGTTGTTATTACAGACTATAATAAAAAAGCCTGGGCTAGATCTAGATTTTTAAAAATTTTTTAAATTTTTCAAAAAAACTTACAGAATCAGGCCAGGCATGGTGGTACATGGCTTTAATCCCAGCACTCAAGAGGCAGAGGCAGGCAGATTTCTGAGTTTGAGGCCAGCTGATTTCTTAGTTTGAGGCCAGTTGGGACCACAGGGAGATGCTGTTTCAATAAGACAAAAAAACAAAACCAAAAAACAAAAAAAACCTTCTAGAATCGGATTGTAATTGCCAATGTAAAGTCATTGGCAATTGATCTGAATAGGATATGATTCAGAAAACTATGAGATCTAAAATTTCCTTTGAGAGAGACTTGAACTAACTTACATAGAGGACAAAGTATGAATTAAGGCTCTTTAAAGCAAGCCAGGCATGGTAGCCTATACCTGTAGTCTCAGTACTAAAGAAGCAGAGACAGGAGGGTTGTGAATTCCAGGCCAGCCTTGGCTAAATGGGGAAAAAGCTTGTCTAAGTAGAGGAATATTTAACAGTGCACATATATGCATTTGATGTATAGAAGTTACCCTCTTGGCATAAACCTGTCTTTTTAGAATGCATCAGGCATGTTCAGGGTAAATGGCTGCAGAGAAGAATATATTTTCAGGACACGAAAAATTCACTTAAAAATTTATTATTTTTATTTTATGTTTCTGAGTGTATTGCCTGCCTGCATGTTGTGCAATGCTCATGGAGGTCAGAAGAGGGCAGCGAATCTTCTGAAACTGGAGATATGGATGGTTGTTGTCTACTATGTGGGTGTTGGGACTTGAACCTGAGTCCTCTGCAAGAGCAACCAGTACTCTTAACCACTGAGCCATCTCTCCAACTCCCCAAAAAACTCACTGTTTAAAGAGACCATGTAGTATTATTTTCTGGTAATGTGATAGATTATATCTTCTTTTTTGTGATTTTCAAATTGATATTTTTGGTATTTGGCCCCTCTTTTTAAGAATAGTTGAAAAAAAATATATATATATATATAGTTCCTGTGTTTAGTTTAAGCAAAAAACTAACAAATACTAGGAGTTAATAATATTAGAGATTAGTCACTGACAAAAAATTTAAAGATATGTGATACATGAGTGTGTACATGTGTATGTGTGATGGCCAGAGGTAGATGTTGCAATGTTGGATGTCTTCCTCTGTTTTCCATCTCTTTTTTTTTTTTTTTGAGATAGGGTCATTGAACCTGGAGCCCGTCAATTTGGCTAGATTGACTGGCCAGCAAACTCCAAGGATGCTCCTGCCTACTTGCCCAGAGCCAGGATTACAGATGTAAACCACTATGGTCAACTATGTGGGTACTGGGAATTCAGACTTGAGTCTTCATGCTTTTGTTGCAAATACTTCACAAACTGAACTACCTCCAACCTTAAAGGTCTTTTGGAAATACACTTTCATATAATGTTCTGTCCGTATGTTTGAAAATAGATTAATGAGTATATGGTACTAATTGAGTGTACAACAGATACAATGGCTTTGGTGTCAAATGATAAGGGTCTCCTGTCTAATATTACTGCATACTAATGTGCACTGCTCTTTGACTCCTTTTACCAAATATCTATAAGGATATGTGACTTGAGACCTACAGAATTTAGATTGGCCGTCTCATAACAGTCTCCTTGGACTAATAAGGTGAAGAGTTCTGCTGAGTCACGTTGCACAGTTTAGAAGTTATATAAGTTATACCTTGAGTGATCAGTGTTGACCATCAGAGATCACCTGTAGACTCTGCCTCAACATGCCTGCTGTCAGTAGGTTAGAGGACTGAGTATAAGCTTAGGACATTTTATTTATTCTTTGTACTTTGGTTTTACCTAAAATGTGCAAATGGTGCACTTAGATATACTTTTGCTCTATGAACCCTTCGTTACAGCCATCCATGATGAAACAAGTAGAGAGTTAAGATTCCCCTTAAGAATCTCTACTTGAGGATGCAGGGAGCAGGCAAGTTGAGATAATAAAAATATAAGATGGCAGATCCATAGTTGTCAGTTAAAACCATTAGTTAAAAGTTGTTTTTGTTTGACTTTATTTTATGTGTATGAGTGTTTTCCCTGCATGTGTGTAAGTGTACCCGTGTTATGCAAAGCCTGCAGAGGTCAAATGAGGGCATTGGACCCCTTGGAACTGGCGTTAACAGATGGTTGTTAGCTGCCATGTGGGTGCTGGGAATTGAACCTAGGTCCTCTGCAAGAGCAGCCAGTTCTCTTCACCACTGAGCCATCTCTTCAGCCCCAAGACCACTAATTTTTAAAGGGGGAAAACTGAACTGAATAAAGTTATAATTTCAGAAGTTTGGTCTAGTATTGGAATAGAACCTGTAATTTTGATATAGCCTGATAATCCATGTAGGCAAATGAAAGTTAAGGTGTCTTATAACTTATATGTTGTTTACTGTAGTAATGTAGTTGATCAGCATTTGGATATAGTTTAAGGTACTTTAGGATTATTAAATATATACCTATATAATTGTACAAAGTACATAGGCTGTAGGATTATTTTGTTTCATTTTTAGAATACCTCACCAGGGTGATGTTTTCATGTGTTCACAGTGTTGACCCAAGTTTTAAAATTGGTTGTTTTAAAGACAGTTTAGTATAGTAATTTTCCACAAGATTCTTAATATTTTAAGCCATACAGAAAATTTGGAATCAGATGGGTACAGAAAATAGAAGAAAAAAATTAAGAAAATAAAAACATTGACTCTTGGATTTGTGAGACTAACTTATTAACTATTTTCCTGGGTAATTTTAAAGGGAAGTTCCTTAGTATTTTTAGTTTATTTTAAAAATTTGATTATTTGCATTAGCATTATTAGTCAATTATTTGGAATTTTGAAGTGAAATGATATTTGTAAAAATCTATAATAATTGCCAGGCTTGGTGGTGCACATCTTTAATCCCAGCAATTGGGAGGCAGAGGCAGGTGGATCTCTGTGAGTTTAAGGCCAGCCTGTTCTACATAGTGAGTTCCAGACCAGCTGGGGCTACAGGAAGACCCTGTTTCAAAAAGACAACAAAACAAAATCTATAGTAGCTATATATTTGTAGATATCTACTTTATTAGCAAGCAAATTCAATTTAAGACAGCTTAATGTAGATAGTGTGGCAAATGCCTGTATTTCCAACACTTGGGAGGTAGAGGCAAGAGGATCAGAATTTTCAGCTACACGAGACCCTTGCTGCTTCAAGGAACAACATAGTTTAATCAAATTGGGTTTATTTCAGAAGTATAAAAAGTACCATCTAGTATTGTGGTACTAGGGTTCCCTTGGATTCTAGTCAGTGTTTGATACATAGTGAACATTTGGAGTCGGATGTGTGTAATAGTTTCTGCTCTCCTAGAGATTATACCTAAAAATGCCTTGTCTCTTAACTATTCTGATATACATAAATGGCTGTAAATTATTATTTTAATGTTGAGATCCTTTATTTTGTTCTATATATTTAATTTTAATTTTTCATTTTTAATCATTCTATAGTGAATTATTGAAGTTTAGAGTCTCCAGTATACGCATCCTATAAAAGGCTATAATTTGAGAAAGACTTCATGATTCTCTGTTAAGAGTTAGAATAACGGTAAATGTGTAAGTTATGAAGGTTGTAATTCTAGTTCAGCTAATGCTTAAAAATTTTCCTCTCTTGATCTATCTCTTGGTTTGTTTCATCTAAGATTGTTGGAAACTAGTTTATAAAGTTCTAGCCCTGTTAATTTTCATGGATAGAATATCTTACTAAGTGCAGAGTAAGTGCTTATGTTAAGACCACTAAGAAGAATAAACTAGAAGAATAGATGGCCTGTTGCTGATGAAATACTTAAAAGTCTAAGGGTGCTGATTTTTCTTGAAGTTCATTTTCATCAGGTTTAAAATTCTAAATTAGTGTTTTTTGTTTCAGCATCAAAGCTGGGCGACTCCTGTCTTACATTCCATATCAACTGTACACCAAGCCATCCAGTGCGCAGAAAGGTCTCAACTTTAATCCTGTATGCAAACCTGAGGATCCTGTGCCAGGTCCAAGCAATATAGCCAAACAGCTCAACAACAGGGTGTAAGTTTGTGTAGATTGGAAAGCAAACATTTTTTTGGCAACGAGTGTGTCCCTATTCTCCTGAAGGTAGAAACATATTTTTTTAAGCTGACCATTCACCTGTAATAAACATTGAAATATGTATGTGGAGATAGATATCTTCCCCCTAAATTAACTATTTTTGAAAAATACTATTTTAAAATTTTATCTGTATGAATGTATTGCCTGCATGTATGAAAGTGTACCCTTGGTACTTTGGAGGTCAGAAGAGGGTGTCAGATCCCCTGAATTGGAGTTAGGGACAGTTTTTAGCTGCTATTGTGGGTGTTGGGAACTGAACCTGGGTCCTCTGCAAGAGTAGCCAGTACTCTTAGTCACTGATCCATCTCTCCAGCCCCTAAATAAACTATTTTTATAATAAGAGGTTCAGAAGTATACAATGCAAGCAATCTAGATCTTAATAGTAATTTTTTCATGAGTTTTCATAAAACTATTTTCCTCTAGGTAGTTTACTGTAGAATGTTACTTTCTCACAAAAACCCAACTAACTGTATCAGCTGTACTTTTGTTATGTTCCATGCATAAAAAATTAATTAAAATGCTTATATTTTTATGTTACTTTTCAAAAATACAAAATTTATAGTTCTAAGTGTATAAATATATTAGTTGGTGTTCCTCAGTTACAGAAATGGGGTAGATTTAGACTTTATTACATGTGATTTTAAAAATACATTGATTTAGGTTTTAATTGCAATAATCCTGAATAAATTGGTTTCTAAAATTAAGTGGTGTGTTGCCTTAACTTGCATGTCAAGTAGTTCATTATCATTAGCTTTTTCTTTTTTGTTAAATTGCTTTCTTTGGGAGTTGGAGATATTTTTTCCAAAAGAAGAGTGATCTAACCTGGGAGGATCCAATATCACTACATTCTGTAATTTTGTTGTTGTCATTTGTTATTTAACTTGTATTCTCTTAGAAGCTTATCTAAATTTCTATTATGTTAACTTATAAACTTTTAATTTTCAAAATACTGTTTAAGATTATACCAGTTACATGAGGAAATCCACAGAATGCGCATCTTTTTGTTGATTATTGTAGAAAGAATTTAGCTTTTAGATTTGACTCTTTTTTTTTTGTCTTTTTGTGACAGGGTCTCCCTGTAGCCCCAGCTGTCCTGGAACTCACTATGTAGACCAGGCTGGCTTTGAACTCAGAGATCCGCCTGCCTCTGCCTCCTGAGTGCTGGGATTAAAGGTGTGCGTCACCACACCCAGCTGATTTGACTTCTTTTTTTAAGATTTATTTTTTATTTTATTTGTGAGTGTTGCCTGCATGCATGTCTGTGCACCACATGACCAGAAGAGGTTGTCAGATCTCCTGCAGTTGGAGTTACAGATGTTTTGAGCCACCATACACGCTCTGGGAATTGAACCATCTCTAGCCCCCAAGATTTGATTTTTTTTAATGCAAATACAGATGTTATTGCTTAGTAAAATGCACCTACTGGTCATATTTCCCATATAGCTGTTTTGTAGTGTGCATTTGTCTAGACTGGGATATCGGCACATAAAGAATATATTATTAACATATTTTTTCCAGTATATGCATTTTTTTGCATGTGTTGGTATTCTTCATGTAAAGAATCACAATGTTTGATACAGAAAACCTAAATAAGATTTTTCTGTCTTACATCTTTTATTACCTTCTGTGAGTTTGGGGTTGTGTATAGTTGGTACTTTAAAATTACTTTATAATTGGTCGTAAGTGACGTTTTGCTTCCCTGCTTTTTCTTTAAGGGGCAGGCTTTCTCTGATGTGACCAAGTAGGTTTTCTTTCTTTTCTTTTAACTGTTTACAGTTATGTTTTTTCCTTTCACTGTCCTGATGATCTGTGAGGGTTGGATATACTTAGAATTGGCTATCATAGTCCATGATAGATTCAGTCAGAGCCTGAGACAAGTAGAAATGTATGGCATTTTTTGCATTTCAACTTGTTTTTTTTTTGTTTTTTTTTTTTCCTATGTAGTTAGACTGTTACACAAATAAGCCAAATTGACATTAAGATGAGGGATTTAAGGCAACAACTAGTAGGGTTGGTAATCTTACCCCTAGCCCGGTACTGTATTTGTTACCCCTTCATTTAGTCTGAACAGTAATTAGAATAACACTGTGGGCATTTCTAAGCATGAATCATTGATGCAATCCAGATTTTGGTTTTTATTACTCGGGCATTTTTATGAATACAAAAGAATTTTGTCTTTATAGAACATTATTAAGCAAACATCTAGAATAGGTAGAATACAGATTTAGCATAACATTTTTCATCGGTCCTGCATTTGTAAGCCTGTGACCAGAAAACTTGATCCAGTTTGCCTTTGCATATCCCTGATTATTTCTTGAAAATAAATGCCTTACTTGAAAACAAACTGCCATTTATTTCCCTTGTTAATTGGGCAAGTATTCTCATTTTTCTTGCTGAAAATTTTAACTGCATTACCACTACATATCCGATCTTGCATCTTTTCTTCTTGAATAGTAGTTAGCAGTATTCATGAGTTACTGCATACAGTTTTGTCAGCTTTCATGCTGATTAGAGCTAACTGGATTCAGGTCTTTAGTACCACTTGTTGCAGTTTTGGGTTTAGTGTGTTAGAGTGCCTTACATAAAAATCAAATGTAAAATCAGGAATAAGAACTCAGGTAAATTTTTGTTCATTTTTATGAAAAATAGAAGTTACACAATAATTTAAAAATATTGCCTGTAGTAAATAAATGACAAGCACTGTGGTTTTGAGTAGGATATTTAGTATTGATAGGTTCTAGTTAATTTGGGGAGAAAGTAATAACACAAGTAGACATGCCTGCACAGGTCAGTAATCACAGTACCTAAGAAGCTCAGATAGATCAGGAATTTAGGCTACCTGGGCAACTTATTGAGAGCCTATCTTTTAAAAAATATAATAAAATTTTCAGAAAACTTATCTCGTGCCGGGCGTGGTGGCGCATACCTTTAATTCAGCACTTGGGATGCGGAGGCAGGCAGATCTACATAGTGAGTTCCAGGACAGCTGGGGCTGCAGGGAGACCCTGTCTCAAAAAGACCAAAAAAAAAGAATTATCTTTTGTTGAAGCAAAAATAATATAATGTTTGTGGTTTAACTTAAGTATTTAAAAAAAATATTTTATTACGCTGGGCATGGTGGCGCACGCCTTTAATCCCAGCACTTGGGAGGCAGCGGCAGGCGGGTCTCTGTGATTTCAAGGCCAGCCTGTTCTTCATAGTGAGGTTCCAGATAGCTGGGGCTACAGGGATACCCTGTCTCAAAAAGACCAAAAAAAAAAAAATTATTATTTTTATTTTATGTGTACGAGTGTATTGCCTGCATGTAGGTAAGTGCAACTGTTTTGTGCAGTGCCCACGGAGGACAGAAGAGGCTGTCGGATCCCCTGGGACTGGAGTTACAGACAGTTGTTAGCTGTCATGTGGGTGCTGGGATTCGAACCCGGGTCTTTTGCAAGAGCAACCAGTGTTCTTCACCAATGAGCCATCTCTCCAGCCCCAATTTTTCAGTTTTTAAGAGAGGAATATTAATGTCACTAAGAGAATGAGTATTTTAAGGTTTAAAGTTAGACATTATTAATTTAAAATTTTCTTGTACTTCAGAAATCACACGATTAAGACGATTGAGACAGAAAATGAAGTGAAAGTGAATGGAGTGAACAGTTGGACTGAAGAAGATTCAAATAATGATTTTAGTTTTGTGGACCTGGAACAGACACTTCCAGGAAGGAAACAAAATGGAATTCCGCATCCCAGAGATAGCATTGCCATTTTTAATGGACACACTCATAGCTCTAACGGTGCCTTAAAGACAGAGGATTGCTTGATGCCTGTGGGCAACAGTGTTGCCAACAGGCTTTCTCCAGACTCTGCCCAGGAGGAGAAGAGGGCTGAGAAGAACAGCACTGACTTCAGAGACTGCCCACTGCAGCAGTTGCAGCAGAGCACCAGAAATCCAGATGCTTTGCGGAATCCACACAGAACTAATTCTCTCTCACCACCTTTGCACAGTAACACTAAAATCAATGGTGCTCACCACTCCACTGTTCAGGGGCCTTCAAGCACAAAAAGCACTTCAGTACCAACTCTTAGCAAGGTAGCACCTTCAGTGCCATCCAAACCTTCAGACTCCAGTTTTATTTCAGATTTCTATTCTCGTTCAAGACTTCATCACATCTCAACATGGAAGTGTGAATTGACTGAGTTTGTCAATACCCTACAAAGGCAAAGTAGTGGTATCTTTCCAGGAAGGGAAAAGTTAAAAAAAATGAAAACAGGCAGGTCTTCCCTTGTTGTAACTGACACAGGTAGATACTAAAATTGTTTTCTTAAAGAACAGTTATACTTGACAATTTTGTTATTATGCTTTTATTGGTATTCTAATCACTACCAAATTCTCAATACAATACAGAAGCTTCTAGTTATGTAAATTTCAGTAAGTATAACAGAAAACTTCATTAATTTAAAGAAAAAAAAGCATCACAATTGGGATTCTGAGCATTCCCTTCCTGTGTAGACCTTATAAATTGTTGACATTTTGAACTGTATAAATTTAACATGTTTTATATTCAGTGCTTAATCTCCTGTGAGAATGAAGTTAATTGGTAAGAGTAATTGTTAATTTCTAGAAGCTTGCTTCATAATGAACTTTTTAAAAATTAAACATTGGCATATAATTGTATTTACAATGGTAAACTTTTAGTGAGATTAAGTGTTTTTATAGCTAAGTAGATTGCTTAATTGTGTTTTTGTTTTTAATACTTGTCATCAAAATACAAACCCAACAACAGTAGGCTAATTTGTGACAATTGCTATTTAAATTAGATTCTAATTTAGATCTAGTTTGAAGTTTTAGTTGCTTTTTTACATATTATAAGATTTGGCTTTTTTCTTTTTGGGGTGGGAGAAGTCTCCACAATTATGTAATAATAACATAGCTGGAAACTGAGGCACAGAAACTAATTATTTTGTTTCCACATGGGTTTTCTTCCTTATTTAATAGTTTCCTATGTGTTTTTAGTTACAAATGCTTTTGGGGTATTTCTGAAATATTTCAGAATACTATAGGTGTTAGGTTATCTTGACGTTATTTCTTGGCCTTAAATGACTTGAAGGTCATTTAATTCTGAAAGCTTTAAAATATTATGAATTAGTTCCACGAATGGAAATAAAATGAGAAATTGTTGTATTCTATGAAAACACTTGTAGATACTTGATTTATGCATTTTGTACTCTTTAAATGTTTAATACTATTTTGGGTTGTTTATGTTATATTTCATAATACTTTTATACAGCAGAATTATGACTGTTGATTACTTAGGATGTGCAGTGCCCTGGGTTTTATACCTAGCACTGCCAAAGAAAGAAGGAAAGAAATTGCAATTGTTAAAATTTACTGGAGAAATAATTTCTGAAGGTAACAGAGAGGATGTACATGGGTTTGCTATTCGATAGTTTAGCCTGAATCTGAATTCTCGTTCTGCTAAATTCTCTGGTGGGAACAGCCTCTCGAGTCTATTTCCTCTCTGCAGAGGAGTGATAGGAATTGGTGGTATCCAGCTCATGGGATTGCCAGCTTAAAGATAATATGAACAAAGGTCTGGTAAATGACTTCACAGTTCAGTAGATGAAGTGACCCAGCTGTTAGGGACTAAGTTTTTAAAAACCTTTTGTAAAGCAGATCCACATATTCATAGGAATATTCTGTAAGATCAGAACTTTTTACAAACTCATGATTCTTAGTTTTAGGACCTGTGTTACTATATTTTGGAGGACCAGGGGAAGTAATTCTAATCTTATTAGGAAGTAATATAATGTTCTAGTATTATTTAACCCTAATAGTTGGGTTATAATAATCCTAGTGACTTATCTTGGGGTTATTAGAAACCATTGATTGTCCTTATAAGACATGTTTGTTTTTAAAAAAAAATTGTTATTTTTATTTTATGTGTATGAGTGAGTGTGTTGTCTGCATGTACGTAAGTGTACCCATGTTGTGCAATGCCCATGGAAGTCAGAAGAGGGCATTGGATCCCCTGGAACTGGAGTTAACAGACGGTTGTTAGCCGCCACATTGATGCTGGGAACCAAACCCGAGTCCTCTGTAAGAGGAGCCAGTTCTCTTAACTGCTGAGCCAATTCTCCAGCCCAAACATACTCATTTTTCCATCATTAAATGTAATATATGTGCTACAGAACTACATTTTAGTAACATCTAATGGCATAAGAAAAATTCCATTGGTAGATATTTGTTTCATAGGCTGCTTTTTGAAGCATGTCTAGTTGGAATAGCAGGATGGTAGTTTGAAGGCTCTGAAATCAGACTCACTGGAGTTTAATCCCAGCTTAGGCACTCACTGGCTGTGTGACTTAAATTATAGTGGTGTGAGAATTTAGGAAAACTAACCCCTATCAACCTCTAGTGTCTGACACCTACCAAGAGCCCTAGATGCTAGTGGCTACTTTAATTGTTTTATTTAGTTGTTTCATAAGGAAAGTGTAGGATATGTGGAATAGAGATCATCAAAGGTTACTTGGTAGCGCCAAATAACTAAGTATATAAAAACTTGATTGATATTTTTATTATATAAAATAAGTAGTTTTAAGATATACTTTTTGACAAACTTTACAGATAGTAAGAAAGTAGATAAGGAAAAGATAACATGATATTATCACAGTTGATTTAAAATTATATTACAAAACCAAAGAAACTGAAGTTTGATGTCTATCAAGGTAGTAGAAAGTTTATAATATCTTTATTGTATTAGCCTTTCTCTTCATAAGCATCTCAAATATGATTTCTAAAATTAACTCAACCTAGTTTTTAGTATGAAGAATTAGTTTTGGGTTTGAATGTTCTCTTTTTTCTTCTAGGAAATATGTCAGTATTGAGCTCACCCAGACATCAGAGCTGTATAATGCATGTTGATATGGATTGCTTCTTTGTATCAGTGGGCATACGAAATAGACCAGATCTCAAAGGTCTGTATTCTTGTTTGTATTTTAAGAAAATCCATATATTGTTATGCATATATTTATCATGAGATAGTGTTATTTGAAAAGTAGTTATTCTGATTTTCCATCATAAAAATCCATTCCTCCTTTGAAATTTTCTGCACTCCATTATTAAAAGTGTAGGGAAATTAGAAAGCTACTTGCTGTAGAAATCTTTAGTGGAAAAATATCTTCAGCTGAAATTGTTATCTTAACATGGAGATCTCTGGGCATTTTCCATATTTTTATTGTTTGTTAAGGGACATTTTATTGTAGCCTGTCTTCAGACTTAAGTCTTGGTACTTCTCCTGTGCAAATAACTTTGCTGTCTGGATGTAGGTGAGCATCTTAACTTTTTGGTTCTAAGAATTTTATATCATTGATTATTGCTAAAATAGGTTCAGTCATCTGTACAGTCTTTTTTAATGAAATTTTAGGTTTGCTTTTTAGGAACAGTTGTTCTAGATCTTTTCAGTAGGTATTTCTGAAAAAGATAACTGTATTCGCATTTTCTTTTGAAAGTCAGTTTTTCACTTAGGTAAAGAATCAGTAGTTAGGCCACACAAAATCCTCAGTTTCTGACAAAGCTTTATTTTTTGTCCTGTGTTGTTGCTATTTCTAGCTCTGACAGGGGATTTTAGAATGTTAGGGGATTGATACCAGCCTATGAGTAACTTAGTATTTAGAACTTAGTATTTTTAAGTTTTGAGTTTTGTGGTGTGTGCGTGCATGCATATGTGTATGTGTGTGGGCGTGGGCGTGCGTGTTTAACCTCCTGCCTTCTAAGCCTGTACTCTACACCTGAGTTACTCCTGCAACCCAATTTCTATTTTATTTATATTGCTGCTTTACAACATTATAGCTGCTCTTTAACTTAATACACAATTTAAAGTAATTTTCTTAACCAAAGCAAAAACTAAGGGACTGAAAACTCATACTTGGCTATATGTTGTCAGATTTTGATTCCTTTGCATGCATCTCATTTTCTCTTGCTATAAAATTAAAAGTATAGATGTTGAACCTACCTGTGCCAAAACTATAAAAATTCCTTTTATAGTTTATCTTTCCCCTTAAAATCTGAACCTAGCATCTGAGTTGCCTGTTTTCTTCTATAAGAAATCAAACAAAAACCATGGAAATCAAAGTGAAGGTGCTGCTTTTAGGTTGAATCAGTGTATCAGAATTGTCACCAATAGTTTACTTTTGGAGAGTAGCTGAAAAACTTAAATGATGTTTGCATGGTGATAAATAATCTTTAACTGTGTTAGCTTCTTTTAGGTTTAATGGCTGAAATGATTAAAGGAAAAAAAGTTAGATAATTAATATCCCATGAAATTTTTTCCACTATTTGTTCTTCACATTCCATTTGTACTTTGAGAAGTAATTTAATCTTTTTCTCACAGGGAAACCAGTAGCTGTTACAAGTAACAGAGGCACAGGAAGGGCACCTTTACGTCCTGGTGCAAACCCCCAGCTGGAATGGCAGTATTACCAGAATAAAATCCTGAAAGGAAAAGCAGGTACAAATGAGCTCTTTGAAGTCATAGTGCTCCTATGGATGACTTCTGGATATTACTGTTGGTATCTTTGTTTTAGAAGTAGAAGCAGAGTTACAACAATTAGGTTTTTCAGATTCAAAGATCTTTAATGATGCTAGTGACAATTTGAATCAAAACAAAATTTGAATATGATACAAATGACTGGCTTACAGTTGCATTTTATTGAATTAGATAGTGGTGTTTTTTCTGGAACACAGCAGTAATTTTAAAAGTGATTAATTACTTTGCACAAATATAGATTGGAATGAAAATAATGCTCATTTTGTAGATGCAGTGATCAAGACTTGAGAATTATTAGTCATTTGGCCTTGTGTCACAGTAAAGACACTGTGAAGATTGTCAATATTCATGTGAGGAAGTCAAGCAAGAAACAGTATAACTTAGAGCCAGACATGGTGGCACATGCCTATATATAATTCCAGCACTTGGGAGACTTAAGTCAGGAGAATTGTACATTCAAGGGCAACTTAGGTAATATAGGGAGAATCTTTTCTCATAAAAGGAAAAAAACAAAACAGTAGAACTTCATTGGAGTCAGAATCTAGTTAACTAGTATCGTTCTTCATTTTAGTGGACTTGCTTCATGTAAGGAACATTTTCATGGCTCTCTTGGTATTTAACTTTAGATACTAGTAAACAAAAGTCATAATTACACCAATCACAACACCAAGACCTTCATGTATTTTTTTATTGCTCTGCCCTAGAAATATATTAAATTTCTTGATATTGGTAGGTTTCCTTATGAATATCCTGTTAAACCACAAATATTTAAAAAATGATTCTTTCAGAAAAATGCCAGAAAGTAGACATATAATACAGTAGAAAGCAATGAAGTTTGGTTCCATCTCAGTTACTGCAACTCCCTATTTTGTCAGTTACTAAACATTGGGCTTATTTTAGAAAAGCCCTTGTCGAGGCAAAAGGAGAGTCATTGCACATTTCTTAGTTGTTTTGGGGTATTGGTCTTTTTGTCATTTGTGACCACCTGCTAATATGGTGTAAGTATGAAAAGAGTAATTTTACATACACATTTATACTTTATATATATATCTCTTTCCCATGTTTTCTAAGGCTTTTCTTGGTTGTTAAATCTTTTCAGAGTTTTGGGATTCTAGTATTTAATGTCAGGAGTAGATCTTGGGGTAGCTGCTATTGAACTTGTTGAGACTTAGCTGTATTGTTGTATGGTTAATGTCTTAAGTGTAGTTTTGTACCAGGTTTTTTTTTTTTTTTTCCTTTTCATTTTCTGTGTATTATTAAAGAGGTAAAATCTTAAGTTCTAGAACACATAGGAAGTATACAACACTTGTCACACGTTGAACACTTAGTGAATACTTACTGAATAAGTACCAAAAGAGGAAGAAAATATTAGTTGTATGTTTGATGGTAGCATCTCCAGTTCCTTTGTGTTCAGAGTCTCTGGTGAATAGAGTCTGAGTTTGCATCTTATTTCAGTAGTCTGCATCTAGATTTTGACCTTGGCAGGCACTTGTTCTTTTGGAGTGGCAGGTCCTCTTTTGTCTTGCTTTCCATCACTGTCTGGCCATAAATGGTTTTGCAACAGATTATTGTCTTTGTTTATTTACTTATCTTCATCTATGTAGCCAGTGGGTTTTCATAATAGTTTAACAACCTTTTATAATTCATATTCCCTTCACTATTGTGGGTAGTACACAGAAAGTAAATATTAGAGAACATATTTAAAGTTCACTTGCCATTGAAAATTGACCAAACCAGATTTTCCTCTCCTTGGAAAAGGTGACAGTAATACTTTGATATTATACTCTTGCTTTAACTTGATGCCATTCATTTTTGTATCCTAAGCCTTTTGACCCATTAGGAATGTATAGGAATATTTGCTACATACAAAATGACTAGATTGTTCTTTATTGGAAGTTTGCAACCAAACTTGTGCTCAGAACTTTTTTCCCCATGCCTTTATTCCTCTTTTCCTAATCTTTCTTTCTCTGGGTCATTATTAGACATGGCACTAAAAATGAAAATACTGAGGATCAATTTGCAAGTTAGAATCTTTGACTTCAGCACACCAACTTTATAACAAATCAATTCTAATATTTTGACTTGTATGGTTAGGCAGAGTATTAGGACAAATAAGCATCTTTCGTCCTTTTTAGAAACTTTGGTTTCTTGTTCCTCATATTCAGAAATTAGGATGGTATAACCAGGGGATCTCATCTGTCTGTGACTTCCTTTGGAAGCTGCTTTCTGAATCATCTCATTGATGATTTCATTCAGAACCGTTTATACTCTGTACTTCGTGGTTGGCTTGATGGTTGGGGCCTTTTACCCCTTCCTGGATTCCCAGGATGCAGATATTTTCTATTCCTTCAACAGCTTCAGTTTTCATTCTAAAGAACAACAGTTTTAAAAATCGTATTAGTCATAGATTTATTCTCAGCGATTTCTTTTTCACAGACTTGGGTCCTGGCCTCTGATTTCTCCAACCGTTCCTCCACATTCTCCATGTGCCCGTCTAGTTTGTCAAGTTTTGATCAGCAGTTCTCTACTTTGCCCTCCAGTGAGGACAGTGTGTCCCTGCATTTCCTTGAATCTCACATGAAGCAACTCACTCCGCTGGTGGAGAGACCCACGCACTCTGCTGCACTGTGGAACAGGTCAGCCAGCCCAGTGAAGAGGAACATGATGGTGCTGCCTCTCAGGCCAGGGCATTGGGGGCTCATGGACCACACTCTGTTCTCACTTCAGACATGAACTTTCTGTAATTTCTAGACAGGATTCTTAGGTTAACTAGTCTTTCAAATATCAAGATCATGTAACTCCCTTTTAAGGAGTAACTCATGTTTATAACTTTGAAAGATGACTGATTGTGGCTATGCAAGTGTCCATGGTCTTTGTTTAGTAACACCCTCTGTTGAACTGTGTTAGTGACTCTCCTTAAATTCTCACAGACTAGGATAGTGGACCAATCAGAAGTCATAGCTCATATTACGTACTCTTGTTTTCATTTTTAGATGCAAGTAGGATTTGATCTGTACCAGGATACCAGTTCTGAGTTTTGCTTGCATTTATGGTGTTTATGTATGGGCGCTAGAATCTGGAAATACTTGTATGGGTTGCATAGTTAGGTAAAAGTTGTTCGTGATTACTGGTAAAATGAGGAAGAGTTATTTTAGCCTCTGAAGCCAGATGCTTTGTTGTATTTTTCTTGTGATGCATTACTTGACTGATTTTTTTTTTCCTTTTTTTCATGGAACATTAAGTCTCTTAAATAAATGGAAAAGAAATGCCGAATTGTTAGCTTTGAATTGTTATAATATACTCAAAGTAGGCTTATCTAGAATTAGCTAACGTGATAAGTTTGGTCTTGTTTTGCTAAAAGTGTTTATAGAATAGAGACATGGCTGAGATTGTGTTATTAGAATATGGTATGTATTTTATAGCACACTTTTCTTTTAGCCTATTAATATTATCCTGAGACTTCTGACCACAGCTTTATTTTAATTTGCTTGTCAATTATTACTGTAGCTTACTCAACATGGTTAAAAAAAAAGTGTCATGTAGTCAGTAGGCTCTTTAGACCATGTACTTTTATATTCTTGGTTTGGAAATTAGGTATGTTGGTGAGTTGTTACTACTTAGACTAGAGTTGTGTTCTGTAAAGTAACTAATACTGATAGAAATTGAATCCAAGTTTTTAAATTGACCGTGCATTATTAAATGAAAAGTAGAATTACTTGAAAGGGAAAAATAATGCTGTGAGGCTGTTTTTACCTGATGTGGGTGTAAAAGAAAAATCTTGATGTTCAAGATGAAACTTCTTTATAGTATACATACTGTATATGTATATATAGTGTAGTATATGGGTGAGATCCCTTGCTTATTATACTGGCCTAATTCCTGAATATGAGGATTAAGAAACCAAAATTTCTAAATAGATCTACTAAATTACTGTTCGGTCAAATGACTTAGAAATTTGAAGTTTATTGAGCATGTTAGTTTTATGTTCTACAGACAGTATTTCAGGAAATACAAAGAATATTCCAGAAAACTTGTATTTTCCATTAACTTTTTCCCATTACAGTGAGCTGCACAGTTATAAGGCAGTGTGAGGGGAGTTCGTCTCTCTGGTCACTTTCATCCTTGTCTACCTTAAGGAACTGCATAATAGCCTAACAGGATATTTTACATTATCTTTTGGATTTTTTTTTTTAATGTGTATAAGTGTTATGCCTGCATATAGGTAAGTGCACCCGTGTCGTGCAATGCCCACGCAGGACAGAAGAGGCTGTCGGATCCCCTCGAACTGGAGTTATGGACAGTTGTTAGCTGCCATGTGGGTGCTGGGATTCGAACCCGGGTCTTCTGCAAGAACAGCCAGTGTTCTTACCCAATGTTGAGCCATCTCGCCAGCCCTGGATTTTTCTTTTCTTTTTTAATTTAAACAGGACACTTTGAATTTATTATGATGTTGTGTATCTGACTGTTGCTGAAGAATATAATGGGAGAAAATTATTTGAGAGTTTTGTTGTACTAAATCTGGAAATAATACCAATTGAAGTAGCTATTTGGAACTTCCTAAATATTTGGATCTGAAAATAAGAGAACAAATTTCTTCAATAAAGTTAAGGAAAATAAAATTTTAACGTAGTCATTAAATTTTATTTTAAAGCAGATATACCAGACTCATCAATATGGGAGAATCAAGATTCTGCACAAACAAATGGAATTGATTCTGTTTTGTCAAAGGCTGAAATTGCTTCTTGTAGTTATGAAGCCAGGTATGTAGAAGTTAACTGAGTTATAATTCTTAATGAATAGCTAACTGTTTTTAATATAATATTGTGAAGATTGAGACATAACAGTCGGGCCTATGATTTCATCATGTGCAAACATGTTATCAAAAGAAATACTAAAAGCCCTAATAGCTTCATTTATACCACCACCATGCTAAATGATTTAAAATAATCTAATCATTCTGTATGATAGATTCTGTAGTGAAAGTGAAAAGAAATTTGAATTATTATGTTTATTTTCTTTCAAGCATGAAATTACAGAGTTAGATTTTTTTTCCTTGAATAGGGCAGGCAGGATCTTAATATTTAATCTTTCGTTTTTAGAAATAAGAAAAACTCTTGTATTATAAAACTGATTGGTGTTTTCAAGTTAAATCTTGATTGCCAGGGCTGGAGAGATGGCTCAGCGGTTAAGAGCACTGACTGCTGTTGCAGAGTACCCAGGTTCAATTCCCAGCACCCACATGGTGGCAACCGTCCTTAACTCCAGTTTCAGGGGAATCTGAAGCCGTCTCTGACCTCCATGGCATTGCACGACACAAGTACACTCACATACATGCAGGCAATACACAAATATACATAAAATAAAAATAATAAACTATTTTAAAAAACAAAAACTTGATTGACTTTTAAATTACAATTTTATACCATGTGTAGGTAGTTATCTTAAAATGATCTGACACCTTAACTGTAATCTATTTTAATATAAGAGGAATAGGCTTGTGTTTCTTATACTTGAAAAAAAATATAATGTCTAGGGAGATGGTTCAGCAGTTAAAGGCGCTACACAAGCCTACTGACCTGAGTTGGATCCCTGGAACCCACATGAAGGAGGAAAGAGAACTGACTCCACAAAGTTGTCCTTCAGTCTCCACAGGCATGCCATTGGTGTTTGTACCATGGCATGTATGGCTACACATACACATCATATACATAATAATAATAATAATAATAAGTTAAATGAAAAATTATCTAAAAATAATTATAGTAGTTATAAAAGTAGAAAGAGTAATAATTATTAAGTAGAATGAGAAGTCCTTTTCCTTTCCCACTAATTGAACCCAGACTGTTTTGCCTTTATAGCACAATGAGCACTTACGTGTCTTTGAATTTAGTAATTATTAAAAGAACATTAAATTAGTTATCTTCTCCAGTTTTTCAGAGTTGGGGTAATTCAAGCAAGTCTGATCTGATCATAAAATATTTGAACTTATGGGGCTGGAGAGATGGCTCAGCAGTTAAGAGTTCTGACTGCTCTTGCAGAGGACCCGGGTTCGATTCCCAGCACCCACATGGCGGCTATGAACCATCCTTAACTCCAGTTCCAGGGAAATCCGAAGCCCTCTTCTGACCTCCGCCGCATTGCATGACACGGGTGCACTCACATACATCTAGGCAATACACTCATACACATTAAAAAAAAATATTTGAACTTAATATCCTATAATCAGAATAGTTTATTTAAAATTCTGTTAATTTGAGTAAGAGACTATATACAAAGTATTATGTTCAAACATTCATAAATAAAAATGCTAATTTCTTTCCCATTTTATGGCACGTTAAACTTGTACTACCTGGCTAACTTTACCTTTCTCATGAATAAAAAAACTGTTTTGTTATTGTCAGTTGCTCTAGCCAGAGAATTGAAATTTACTTTAATAGAGATAATTAAATGAAATGGAAATGCATTTAGGATTGTTGGTACTACTGTTTCCTAGCACAGGCAGTTCAAAGCTGAGTTAATAGAGTGTTTAGTGGGTTAATCTTTCACTCTCTTCTTCATCGTTGATTGGTAACTTGTGCTTCTATTAGCTAGTCCGTTGTAATTAGTGTCTCTATGTGACGATGCTCAGAAATACATCTTCAAGTTGTGCTAGCTGGTGAAAAATTAGAGCTTGTCCTTTGCCACACTACCTCTGTAGGGTCTTGCTCAGCACCAGCAACCCCAAAGATGAAATCTAGTTGAGAGTTCCAAGGCTTTTTCAAGGGTAGAAGTGTTCTCGGTTCTATTAGTGCTGGACTTCATGACTTCTGGTGTTTGGATGGTATATTTGTATTGACCCACACATGGCAATAGATGAACATCAAACCATGTAGAAAAACAAAATCAAACCCACTTCTATGGTTTTTTTTTTTTTTTAACCTTAATTGTAACTTTCCATTTTCTAGACTGCTTATCCTAATGAAGTAGAAAACAATTGAATCTAGAAAATTTTTGGTTCCTTTCTCCGCCCCCCCCCACCCTTGACTGTATAACAGGTATATTCTGTGGAGCTTTTCTATAAAAATAAATTTAGGGTCTGGAGAGATGGCTCAGCGGTTAAGAGCACTGACTGCTCTTGCAGAGGACCTGGGTTCGATTTCCCAGTACCCACATGGCGGCTACGAACTGTCCTTTACTCCAGTTCCAGGGGAATCTGAAGCCCTCTTCTGACCTCCGCGCCATTGCACGACATGGCTGCTCTCACTATTAAAAAAATAAATATAATTAATAATTTCATCAGAAACATGTTTCTGAGATTGGACTGAGACTTAGATTGTGGAGATTGTCATTCTAGCTCTACATATTGATGAGTTTTACATAGACTAATAATGAAATTAGCAAAGAATGCACTGTGACTGGGAAATGGTGGAAGTCTTGGAGCAGTGGAGTGTGTATATGTAGATTACTGTATATATTACTTTTAGTAGTTTTACACATACTTAAAATAAGAATAAGTGTTACATATAATGAGAAGGTAGATATGTTGAAGGTCGTGGCATGCATATACTCCCAAAGTACTAGATTTTTTTTTTAAGTAAGTTGTAAGCCAGGCATGATGCTGTAAGCTAGTAACTCTGAATATTTAGGAGGCCAGAGGCAGGAGTTTTAGGAGTTTAGGATTGTCCTCTGTTACACCACAAGTTCAAGGCTGTGTCTTTAAGCCCTGTCCCCGAAATTTGAAAAATACAGTTTTAGACTTGGAGTTCATGTGCATTTTTAAAGACCCTTTATTAATGATACAGATTTTGGGATATTTAGTATGGTGAATGAAGCAATAGTGATTTGATGTGTTGTCTCTATATTGTCTAATCCAACTGCAAAGAGCTTTTCTTTGTAAGGATATTACAAGTAAGAGTATGCTCTCTGCACTTTAAACTTGGCCATAAATTCTGTTTTTCAGCATATACTTAAAATACAATATTGGTAATTTTTCCTGAACGGAATTTTAGTTGGGAAGAATACATTGATCATTCTATTAAACAACTACTTCAGGCTTTGTTTTTGAGTTATGGTTTCACTATGTAGCTAAGCTTGGTATATGTATCCCAAGCTGACCTCAAACTCAGAATCCTTGTGCCTCCACCACTGCCTGAGTGCTGTGATTGCTGTTATGCCATCACCACGTGGGCCTGGCAGACTTTTAAAAAAATAACTGTCTTTATTCACTTACTTTCTGTGAATCACATCTCAATTTCCCAAATTCAAGGAAAGTATTGTACTTCCCCTAGTTAGGGGAAACCTCCTGGGTTTTTCTTATTTGTAACTTCCCTATCATGTCCAGTGACTCTTAAACTTGTCTATGGGATGGAGGGTGATGGAGTGTGGTGGCAATGTCTGTACAACATTTGAGAGGTGGAGACAGAAGGCTCCGTAGTTCAAGGTCATCCTCAGTCTCCTATGGAAACTTTCCCCTATGGAAAATTTGCATGAGTACCTAAATACAAGTAGCGTGTTTTTCTAAGTATTGTGCCTCTGAAACTTTTGTATATAGAAATTTTGGAAAGGAAAATTAAATATTAGAATATATTATTTATAGGAACTATGTAATGTACCTTTAAAAATGAATTATTACCTTGTATATATTTCAGATTTATATTACACATTTCAGATTTATATTACGAGAACTTTTATCCTTTTTCAAAGGATAATTATTTCTAATAAGTTTTCTCAATTCTGATTCTATATGCCTATCTAAAGTATTATGTTTACACTTCCCTGCATCAATAAGCCTATTGATTTACTAAAACTTACCGACTGCAATTCTTCTTTTGCTGGGTAGATGCAGGGACATGCGTCTTGAGATTTGTTTCCCAGCACCTTGCAGAATGTCCCAGACTTAACTATTACAGTTATCTTTATTCTATGTCAGTCATTACTACTCTTCCTATCATTTCTGACTTCCTATTAAATGTTCTGCATCAATTTGGGACTTCATACTGAAGCAGCTTGTTACTGCTTTTGTGTACATGAAAAATGCATGTAATTTTGGATTTGCCTCTGAATAACTTAGAGAATTCTTAATTCTTTGTGGTTCTCAGTGGTAATCTGAATTTTGGGAGTATGCCAGAGTAATTCAAGACTATTTGTGTTTTTTTTTCACTTGTTCTTAGCCCAAAGGCCAAGAAATGATTATATCTGTTTCTTAAGCAGGGCACACCTCCAACTAACTCAGCAGTTAGTGAATATTTACTGAATGAATGTATAGAATAGCCATGTTCATACTATGTAATAATGTAATCTGGTGAAAGATTGCTTTATTTTGCTTGTGTTTTTACTGTGATATTTTTTTCTTGATTCTTTACAGAGTGATAAAATGGAATTTTACTAATTATGTATAATTCCATAATTGTAGTTATATGCTGAATGCTCCAAATATCAAAGGTAATGTGGGGCATTGAGACACACAGTAGATTTAAAATTTACCATTTTCAATTAGGTCCCTCAAAGTTCTGGAACCCTGGCTCCTACCCAGAGTGATGTCCTACCATATACAATGCTGTTGGCATCTCAACCACTGCGGAGCCACTTGAGGAGCATTGGAATTGGTCAATTGGGAATTGGGTGGTAATAGGATGAGTACATTTTGTCTGTTTGTCACATAGCACTGTTTTGTGTAGTTCTTGCGTTCATATTTGTCTTTGGGGGATGAACCCTGGCCAAACCGTGCCATGTGTTAGGGGAAGAAAACCTTTTGACAGCACATTCCTGCTCTGTGGTGGTTGTGATATCACCAGCATATGGCATGCTGGCATCTCTGCAAAGGGGCCAGAGGTCAAGTTTTAGGAGAAGTGTTTAGATATAGAAAAAAGAGATGTCATTTACACTAGTGAGACAATTGTATAATTTTCTGTTGGGGGGACAACAAACTTCTTGTAAACTTTCCTAATGCCTATTGTTAATCCCTAGTAAGAAGAGGAATTAAAAGGAAACTGCATATTAGTGGCATGGGGAGATACCAACATATTTGCTATTTGGTTGTCAACGAAAATACTTCCTAGAGTAATCTCCACTGTATTTTGTTTTCTCTCTAGACAAGTTGGCATTAAGAATGGAATGTTTTTTGGGCATGCTAAACAGCTGTGTCCTAATCTGCAAGCTGTTCCATATGATTTTCATGCATATAAGGAAGTTGCACAAACAATGTATGAAACGTTGGCAAGGTATTGTGTACAATATAGTCATTTTTATTTCTTTTACCTCCTTTTATCTGCTGTTAAAAATAGTCCACTTTTCTTTAGCATTGTCAGGGTCACTTCTCCTGCACCTTTGTCTTTCTCAGGATCCTTTTCCTCAGCCTCCCAGTGTGACAGTTGCCTTTCTTTGAGTTGTTTCAGTAACTGGGAGTTTAGTCTCAAGGGAAATTTTTCCCTTGCTGTCATTGTTCAAATACTCCTGATGGTGATGTAAAATCTGCCAGTGTACCTTCTAGTCAGTGGACCTGATTTTCTTTCCCATGAAACCAGATAGACAAAGGATTGCAATTTTTTTCCCTAGTTATTATCTTTTATTACATTTGAATTATAGTGTTTATTATTTGTAACTTAGAATTTACTGAGCATGGTCAGTGTTGCAGCCCAGGAATTCAGTATCAGCCAGGCTATTAAGAGCCCCCTGCATCTTTAATTAATTAAAAACTGATAGGTCTGTAATACCCTTAGGCATTTTAAATCCTTTTTCATTATAAAATCTTTAAGCACACCAAAAGCTTAGTGTTATAAAAGTAAGACTCTCATAGGGTATGGTGGTGCATACCTTTAATCCCAACACTCAGGAGGCAGAGGCGGGAGGATCTTTGTGACTTTGAGGTCTACATAGAGAGTTCCCAGGCAGCCAGGGCTACATAATGAGACTTAGTCTCAAAAACAAACAAAAAAGTTGAATCTGGTAATGGTTGATTCATTGGCTTGAAGAAAGGTGATAAATGAGAAAAAAGTTTCTTCACTGTAGGTTTATTTAATACTCAAAATGTATAAAAGTATACAGTAACCTATATATGTTCTAAAGGAAAAGGCATATAGTTTCTGTATAAAGGACTAGATCAGGTCTCTTTCACAGTTCCTTAACTCTTTATAAATTGAAAACAGCCTTAAATGATGTAAATGACCGACCTGCTTCTGTAAAAATTAAAAAAAAGAAAAATTATTTACCAAAAGAAGCATCTGGACGTTGGTTCCAGGTTGGTAGATCCCAGGACTGTGTTGCCTCTATCTTCACTACTGCCGTTTCTTTCTTGTGCTTTATTCTGAGCACCATTAACCAGTAAGCGCAGATGGCTGCTTGATTCTGCTAGTCTGTCTAATCCAAAGAAATAATATCCAATCCCTGCCCTTGTGAGAGCTTACTTTAATAGTGGAGGAAAATGTCCAGGGAAAGATCTACATTATCTGGCACTGGTATGTGAAATTGGGTACTGAACGGTAAAACCAGTTTCAATCATAGCTTTTCTTAACACAAATTCAGCAATTTTAGTGTTACCAAATAGGAAAGGTTGAAAAGCTTAAGTCATTAGTAGCATCCAAGTGAGAGCTAGGACTGGCCACTGAGTTACATGGTGGTTATGTAGTGCTGCTATTTGCTATTGTATTCTTGTTTTCCACATCTTAGAGTAGGTTACTGGCCTGTACCTAAGGCCTGAAAGACCTGAGGAGTGCTGTTACTCATACTAAACCTGGTGTATTTTCAGTCCATGAACACATTTTTAGTGCCATGTTTCTGTTCTCACAGGAAAAAAAAATTACAGTATTATGCTTCAAATACACCTTTTTATTTTAACCTAAATAGCATTTACTTATTGAATGATTAGCCTTTGATATGCTTTGTAGCCTGTAGTAAGGTGTAGGTGAGAGATGAAGCCTGTCCCTTCTACTGTATATTACTAAGTGGATTGTTGAAGACTGCGTGATTGTGAGGCCTCTTGAGCCTACCTTTCTGGTTTGATTTTATTTTGTGTCTTTGTGTTTATGCCGCCTTCTCTAGGCAATCAGAACAAGTAGCCCTTGATGTGAAAAGTTCACCTAAGATTATTTTTAAAAAAAAGAAAAGCATTTCCATTTATTGGGGATGTTGCGTTCTCCTAGATAGCCATTTAGGGTGATTGGCTATTTTTATTCACTGTATTCTAGGTCTCCTATAGTTTATAGTATTTAATAGTGGTATTTTGTATTTAGGAGAACAGCAATTGTTAGACTAATTACAAAAGGTTTCTTATAAAACATGTTTGAAATTTTCTTAAATATTTTGACAGTTCTGATTCATTTATCTCTTTGCAACTATTTAAATATTTACAAAGATATTCTCAGTATAGAAAAACTAGAATGATCATTTCTGCTGTGGTTTTGGTAGTTAATATGGAAATAGAACACTAACTTTATAATCAAAATTGTTAACTAGTGGCACTTTGGAGTTCATTTAAAATGGTG